TTTTGAAATATTTTTGAGCCGTGTGTATTTAATGTTGAATATGCAAATTGCGCATAACTAATTTGCATTTACGACAACAACAATAAAATAAAAAAAAGCGAAAAAAAATAATAACTAATAATCTGGCGAGAGAAGACGAAAACCCGATTCCGAGACCAAGTTAAAGACACAGAGCTCGGCGACAACGACGCTTGAAGATATGCGAGAAATTTACAATAATACTTCCAGGAAGGCAAAAGGAAGAGCCGAAGCGTCGCAAATATGCAACGATCGTTGCGCTGGCAACTAGGCAACTGGGCGACTGGGCGACTCTCGCTGGAACCTGATGAGATGCGTTGTCCAGCGCTATGAAGTGACCATGACGGACCACTCGAAGGCGACAAGCCGGCCGAAGGTGTCGCGCGCCAAGCAAATTAGCGGCTGTGTCCAATTGGAAAACGAGCCACAGACGCGTCACACGTTTAGCGAGTGTGTGTTTGTGTAGGTGTGTGTGTGTGTGTGGGTGTGTGGGTGTGTGTGTGTGGGTGTGTGTGTGTGGGTGAGTCTCTGTGTGTGTGTGTGTGTCGCCTTGTCACGTGAAATCAAATCAGGCATTACAATTTTACGCTCAATCGCGAGTGTAATTGAGCCGCACAGCCGTCGCGTTGTCTGCCACAAAATCCAAATCGGTTGTCGCTGCCGCGCCGCGGGTTTTCCGGCTGCGGAAAAACAAGCAGCTTCCGCTTAAGCCGGAGTCAAGCGGCGGCCAATGAGGCGTGCAGCGCAGCCGGCGCAACAATCTAACAAAATGTTCTGCTCCAAAACTAAAAATATACAACTATTACATATATGTATACATATTATTTATCCTGGAACCATTGGGGGTGGAGTGAGATAAGGGTATTATGGTTTTGGGCATATGTTTGAAACAGTCTGTCGTAACCCATTAAGTATATATTTTCTTGATCAGCATCAGTCATGTCCGACTGTCCGTCAGTTTTTATGAATTCCTCGATATTCTTATACATATATTTATTCTCGATCTCAGCATCGATCTCAGAGACTATTAGATTTAGAGACTTGAAATGTGGAAGGTAGATCTGGGGGAATTAACCTGGTTTCATGTCATCAATAACTTACCCCGTTTTCAAGAAAATAAGCACACCTCGAACTCAACATAGCTAGCATTTTAGTATGTAGATCTCTCATTTGATAGCCGAATCCCGGATATTATATATACATTAATATCTCTTCGTAATTAAATAAAAAATGTGTGATATAGCGCATCGCTTAAGTCCTTAAAATTCCATAGCGATCGGACTATAAACACCGAAGTGCCTGGCTAAGGGATGAAGAAGAACAAAAGCTTCAATTGTTGAGCAGTAAGCGGTGTTTGGGCTTCTAAAGGAAAACTTTAAAAGGAGGTTTGAATATTTGTTACAGCAGCTTGGTATAGTGTATCTTACAGTCAAGCACTCCCGACGAATGCACTTCAGTATTTTACTTTTTTCTATAATATTAACAGCTATTTGTTTATGGCTTAATTTATGCGCTAACACGCCTCTGCTCTGTGCTGGCACACATTTTTTCCCAGTTGTACCAGCTTTGCCATGTAGTTTGTCCTTAGCCCGTTGTCCTGTTGTGTCCATTGTTTGGATCACGTTCCAATGCGCCGATATCGAAACTGTTCGATCTGTGCAAGTAGCAAAAAAAAAAAAGAAGAAGCAGAAGCAGTAGCAGAGAGCAGAGAACCGCAACTTTGTTTCCAAGTGAGCAGCAGACCCAAGGAGCTGCTCCTGCTCCTGCCAAGTCCTTTGTGTGCATCCTTCTATTCCGCTATCGGATAACAGCGCCCGCATTCACGTTTCATATTTTGCCATCGCCCGAATCTTGGGCTTAGAACTTGTAAGTTTCTGTTTTTTATTCTTTCTCTTTTTTTAATGTATGTTTACAAACAAGGGTTAAAGCATTTTGTATGAAATATATGGGATTCTTGTGCATTTTGTTGTGTGTGATCGTATGTTTCTCGATATCGATCTCTGCCCTGGCCATATAGGCATGGGAAAACTATGCTCATATGCTGATGACCCCTTTTCATATTTTGTTTCATCATGAAATGCATAAATGTTTTCATTTATTTTGATTGCTTCTCTTAAATCTGTTTTAGTAATTGTTTTTATTAAACAAAGCATTGAGGGAATAATTAAAGAATTCATATAATACCTCTAAAATCGGCCCTTGTATGTTTTTTAAAGAGATATTTGCTTAGCTATTCACCCAAATTCTTATTATAATAATAAAAGAGTTGAGTTCTCTTTATACAATGCTTATAAACAATAAATATATGCAGATAATAATACCTTTGTTCATGATAAAGCTTTTATTTTTGATAAAACTAATTCTACTTTTAGTTTTCACCTCGAATTTTATTTACATCGCAGTTTTAAATGTTTATGAGAGCAAAACTAGATAGAGAAAATTAGCGTGGAAAATTGAGGTCTCTTTCGGGGCTGCAAGACAACAAAAAAATGGTCGATGGCCCGTTTCACAGTTCGATCCAGAATCCTGCCTAATGTATGATTCGGCTTGCAATTGTTATTTTAAATTGTTCGTTTTACGGAAAATATTACGAATATAACGTGTACATATTTTATATTTTCATATACTAGCTAAGAGGTAAATTTGAACTCCACACAAAACTGGCATCGACCAAATATGGTTAGATATATGTTATGATTAGGGCCTAAATTATATGTACTGGGTCCCTTTCAAAAATTGTATATTTTGAACCAGTAAAAAGATGTAAAGTTTTTTCGACAACACGTTTGCCGGGCCTCTAACCGATTCGTTTTCGATATACAGTTATCTCATTTAGAATAACAAACTTCTCGGCTTTAGAAAACCTCCTTTAATCTGTTCGTTCTATGCTTTATCGAGTGATGCACTCAATAGAGCGGCGCCATGATGATTCAGTCCGGCTATCTATGCTAAAGCATATAAGTTTATATATTTTACATTTTTGCACGTTATGTGTTGATAAGTTGCACCACCAACAACAACAGCAACAACAACAACAACATGGCAAATTTTGCAGCGCGTGCAAGAAAATATGAACGTCACAAACGATTAGCTCATCGACGTCCGTTAACAACAACAACAACGGAGTCAAAATATTTTAAGAGCCAAAAAGAAACAAAAATTGGAAAAAAAAAACCAAAATCGGCAACAGCAATAACAATCATAACAACAACAACAGCAGCAAAAGCAGCAGCAACAACAAAGCTTTCAACATATCGAAAACACGTGCCACAGCGCGGCACACGGTGCCCAGGTGCCGAAACATATGTACGCGTGATCGGCCATAAGTCAGATCAATGAATGAAAACGATAGCGCACAGTCCGAGTACAAAGTGTTTAACAACAACAAAAACAGCAGCAGCAACAACAACAGCAAGTGCTTTGAGCATAATAGTAAACAAGTAAAAGTCTGTCAATGCGCGACAAGAAGATGCCCTGTAGCCATCTCTGATATATAATACATATTTTTGGTTTCGTTTCATTATTAAATGAATAATGTTTACATTTATTTTGCCTGCTTTGCTTAAAGCGGTTTTTAGTAATTGTTTTTATGAAACAAAGCATTGGTTGAATATTCAAGGAATACATAAACTATTTATTTCTAGTTCTATATAAATTTAAATATTAATTTGTATATATCATATACTTATATATGTTATATTTTATATAACATGTACTAAACATAAACCTACAACAATTTGCAATCAAACATACAGAAACCCGCAAAAACACACAACATACACGACCCAGACGGTGCTTCTTCTTTTAGCTTCTTCTTCTTACTGCCGCATACTTTATTGTCTGATCTTTATGAAATTTTAAGAGCTTAAATATAACATTTAAATAGGTGCACTTACCAAAAAAACTAGAATTAACAATGTCATCTAAGTTTGTCTTTCCAATTTTGGTTTTTAGGCTCGCGAATATTTTAAAAAATTTAAATGAATTAGTTATTATTTATTTTATATATAATATTTATTAATTTTATTTTATTCAAAACATGATTAGATTGTTATAAAACTTACGACAACTTTTTCTTTATTTAATATAATTTTTTAATATATAAATAATATAATTAAATTTTTTGTATGACATTTAAAGGTTTCTATATATGATCAGGTGCTCTTTAAAATGTATTTATTACTTTTAGGGGCAGCGGGGGTACTTATCGATCATTATCGAGTTATCAGACTCTGTTACTGTTTTAACTTTGAAAATAAAAGTGCATGCTTTCATTATTCTATTTGAGAAACTACAAATTACATTTTTAGGCCTTGGCTCTAAAGTTTGTAAGATCAAGGGACATGTAGACAGACTAATGGACAGACAGCGGAATGTGTCTAAGTCGACTAGGTTTTTAGCTGCTGATCAGGAGTATAGTTTTAAAAGATTCCCTTAATACCAGCAGGAATCTACCCGCTTTGCAAGACATTTTCAATGGGTAGAGCGCATAAAGCGCTTAAAAAGCTGATTCCAAGTATTATGCGAATATGTTTTTGTTTTTCTCTTTTGGTTGTTTTTGTTGTGTCTGATTCAGGGGTCAAGTCTTAAATAACTTTGAGTTTCGCCTTCTGTTCTGCCTAGATCAGCATTGTGGCAAAAGAAAGTCGGAGTCGATGCAGAAGAAAGCGCAGCAGTTTCCAGTGAAATGCCAACAGATTTTCTTTTCTTTCTGCTGCTTCTTCTTTTTGTGTTTTTTTTTTGCAAGCTGAGCACAAGTCACGGTCGCGCCGAAAGTATTGTTTATTTACTTTGCAGCCCCGTTGCGCCCCCCGTCGCACGGCACATGTGACATTGTTGGCGACATTGAAAATGTTGGTAAGCCAATCAAAAGCGGAGCAGCAGCGCCAGCTCTCGGCCAAAGCTCAGCTCAGAATGCAGCGCCAAGAGCAGCGCGGCGCAGCGCAGCGACGCGTCGCTTAGTTTCAGTTTAGAGCGGCGGCAATCGCAGCGCGGGTGCGAGTTCTCGGGTTCGTGTTCGTCGCACTGCACCACCCAGTGACCAGTGCCAGTGGCCAGCTGTGAGCGTCGTCAACGTTGCGCGCGCGCGTTAAACACAATACCAAAAAAAAATAAAATAACTCTTAACTGACGCGCCACGCAGCGCGAAATGCAGCCTGCAGCTTAAGCATTTTGCATATGAAATGGATCCAAAAAGTAATTAAACAGTGTGAATACTCTAACCGCCAGCAGCTGCAGCTGTTTGTTTTTACAGTGTGTCGCAGCAGACAGTGTTTTTTTTTGTTGGTTTTTAATGCTTTATTTTTTTTTCGGCACTCGAAAAATGATTTGTTTTGTCTGGCCACACGACAGCGCTGGGGCACGAGGCTGTGGCTGCTACTGGCTGCTGCACAGTCGCTCGGTCTGGACATGCGCCTGTCGTTGGGGCCAGTTAACGTTGCCGTTGACAGCAGCCCTTGTTGTTGTTGTTGTTGTTGTTTTTGCTGTTGCTGCAAAGTGTGTTTTTAATTGCAACTGAAAAATATTGAATTACAATTTGCGTTGGTGTTGCACGTAAAGTTAGTGGTAAAAATGACCAACATTGCAGCACAATTAAAAATAAAATCTTAAACGAAATTGGCGTGATTTAAATGAAGGCATGTACATTATACTTGCCAGAAACTATAGAACTAACTGCAAGGCCATTTAAATTTAATGCGTGACCTTGAATCTATTTTCTTGAAATTTCTGAATTATCCTGTTTTTTTTTTATTTTATTCTGTGAACTACTTCGCTTAATTTTAATTTTAAGTTTAAACTTCGTTCTCAAAAAACAACAATTAAAAATTTTATAAGCAAGCAAGCTTAGTCGAAAAACGATTAAAAGACAAAGCTAAATTTTAAAAATATGATAAAGTTAATTTAATTAAATTTCTTACTTATCAATATAAATGTATTTGCGTTTCTGAGTCACATTTCTTATTTACAACGTTACGAATTTAACAAGAAATTCATTTTCATTTTTTATGTGTCACATAAAAAACAGCAACAAACGAAAAACAGTTAAAAATGTCAAAGTGTAATAATAATAAACTTTATGAGAGCATGCTTAAGATTTGTGTGTCTTATACAAAATTTGCAAATAAAAAAAATGGCGGCCCAGTGTATAGTAAAATACATTAGAGCATATACGTATGCTAATACATACAGACTTACATATTTATGTATGTATGCATGTACACGTGGATGTGCCATAACTGACATTGAATTTTGACAAGCGCACGCGGCCGGAAGAGTTGCCACACATTCACACGCCCCCAAACATACATACACATACAAATCAACAACTTTGTCAGCGAACTGAGAATCTTTTTGCCCAAAAGGGCTGAAAGAGAAAGCTAAACCACTCCAATGCACGAAATGCTCGCTAATGGAGTGTAAAATACACACACACACATATACACGCACGCACGCACGCACGCACACTAAGGTAGCGGTGGCGGCGGCAACAAAATGAAACTCAAATAACAATTATTAAGGCGTTGCCAGACGTGCACACAACAATTATGCGCCTGTATGTGTGGGCGGAGCGGCGGCGACGGCGACGGCGACAGACGCGATACAAATACACAAGCAGGCCCGCGAGATACAAACACATGCACACACACGCAGCAGTTCCAGTTCCAGTTTGTCGTTCCAGGTTCGCGCTGTGTTTGTGTGCGTTGTTTGCGTGCTCGTGGGGTATTAAGCACGCCGAGACAGCCAATGAGATGTTGTTGCCAGTGTGCTCGTATTTGTGTAATGCTTTGCACTCGTCCGCTCTCGCTCGCACTCACTGTGCGTTGCTGCTGTTGTTGTTGTTCTGCCTGTTTGACAGAGGGTGGCATGTATGAGTGTGTGTGCGTTTGTATTTGGAAACCAGTTTTTTTTTCCTGTTACAGCAGCAGCAGCAACAGCGGCAGCGGCGCAGCCGTATTGCAATGGTCGGTGAATGAACCGTGCGGCGGCCCTAATATCTTTCTAATGTTACCTGACTGAGACACCATTTTCTTTTTTGTTACCTTTTATATTTTTGTTGCTTGTCGTTTTTGTATAGTTTATGGCACTGATTGTTGTTGCTGCTGTTGCCTTTGCCGTTCTGCTGCTTCCTGTGCTCGTTGTTGTATTTCTGGTCTGCTAGAATTTATGCTTTTCTTTTGTCTCCTACATTTTTGATGTACAAACTGAGATTCGTCTGGGGCTTGAGCTTGTCTGTATGTGTGTGTGTGTGTGTGCACGTTAGTGTGCGTGTTTGACTTCTTGTGACGAAATCCGCTTAATGCTGTAATTTTGATGTTCGGTACAAAACGAAATTGTTGTCGTAGTGGAAATCTGAGGGGCTTGCTTTACAAATTTAAAATAACCTAACTTTTAAAGTTTGTTTTCCTAGTAAATATTCAATCAATTTAAGTTAGGTGAATTAATCGTTAATAAATTTAAATATTGGACTATTCTAAAATTAAACATTTGTATCATAAGGACAACTTAACAGTTCTTTTTATATTGACGTAACATAATTATATCATCCTATTCTTTTTATTTCCATTTTATATTAAGAAACATCTTTAACGTTTCTTTAAAGTATTTTACTGTTCCTTTCTTTTAACTGATATACTGACGATTTCTGAATTATAGATAAATAAATTGTGCTAGATTTGGGCTACTAATTACACCTTCTTTTCTTCTTTTAACATTGATGTAACATACCTGCAATATCAACCTATTCATTTTATATTCATTTTACATTTAGTAACAGCTTTTTTGAAGTCTGTTACAGCTACTTTATTTTTATTTATCTGATGTACAGCATTTTTAAGATTTATATTTTTGATACTCTCATTTGTTCCAAATTAAATTTTTAAGGTTTAAGGCTTGCACAATTTCTTAGCCCTTCTAAGAAACTCACTGAACTATGATTCGTACCACTTGTATTTCGTATTTGTCAGTTACAATGCACTTACAAACAGTTTGCTCTATCCTAACGTTGTTCCTCAAATATTAAGTCTACTTTTTATTTATAGGTATATTCCTGTAGCATAATAAGAAGGATTCATTTGTAGAGATGTTTAGGCTCCCATATAAAATCGAGCAATAACGCAGCAGTGCACATAAATCATATGCGCACCATTAGGATTATGTTAACGACTCTCTGTGCAGTCAGACAACCCCATTAAAATCGTTGTTAATCTGCTGCTTAAGCCAAAAATATCCTCAAGTTGTCAACACCATTTTGGGGAACCAACTAATGGCCCAGCCATTGAAAGGGCTTAAGTTGGGGAGCAACAAGCCTTAATTATGCCCAGGAAACGCCCAGAACTGTAACACCGCAATGCGGTGTCTTCTATATTTAGAGCCCCGCCCACAAGAATGTCAACCTTGATATTAAAACGAACAAAAAATGTCGTAAATTTCAAGGTAAGCACGCGACGATATAGATAAAGGTACTCTATAAATGGGGATTGTAGAACCAAAATAGCGCTATTCAAAATGGCCGCTTTTGTTGCTTTTATTTTTACAAAGCAATTCAGTGACGAGTTTTTAGTTTTTGAAATAGTTTTCGCTTACATAAAATCAATTTGTAGCAAGAAATGGAATTTAAATGCCTTTTACGATCATGTGTGTGTCTGTGTATGTATATATGTACATTTGTATGTGTGTGTGTGTGTGTGTGTGAGGGCATGTGCAAGGTATATATTATATGGTGTAGGTATCTAATGAAACGTGATTTTCTCTTAAACGTGACTTTGTATTGATTTTTTCCCAACCATATTTTTGTTTCATTCTACGACTGAGTTCAAGTTGCTTTTGTTGTTGTTCTTGTTCTTGTTGTTGTTGTAGTTCTTGTTGTTGTTTTTGTTGTTGATAGCTGTTGCCTTTGCACATTCACTGTTGCAACGGCTGTTGCAGTTGCCCATATCATAAAATGCAAGACGTAATTAATGCCATGCTTTTTGAAATCTAATTGAACTGATATTTGATTTGTACATGAAATTAAAATAAGTTGATTATGCTTTATATTTAAGGCGGTCAGTTTCAATTCTTTGATCTTAAGAAGAAAATAACGAGAATTCAGTTTCGAATTTCGCAGATCTAGTTTTTTTAACTATTAATGTAAATAATAATATAATTTTAAATAATTATAGAAACAATTGAAGCTCTATATTTGAAAATAGAATTTAAACAATTTTTTAAGATTTTTCGTAAAATCAAATAATAAGTTAAATAAATTGTTCTATACGCGAAACTCAAATTGAGCCCCATGGATGTTTGAAAATTGTTATCTAAACAATTTTTTTAATATTCCATTTGAGTAAAATATCTTAACAGCGTATCATTAATGAAAAACAAACTTATGTGTTGAAAATTAATCAAAGCTCTTGGAAATTAAAAAAATGTTCAAAACATCCCTAATTAAATACCACAGATCGTGAGTTGATCAAGAAACATGGTCATGACGAAGCATTATATATACCAAGATATCCCGTGTTTTCTTCTATATTATGGACCTGTTTTAAGGGATTCGTAATGGCCACGTTCCCGAGATCAGCTCAGCGGCCTATGGTATGCCCTTGCGAGTGTTTCCGTTCACATCTTTAGGATTTGCATGTAATTACGAGCATTTCAAACAAATACACATATGGTATATACACGTTTATAAATACATATTCCGGAACCCGGAGATCCCTCTATGTTGTTCTGTTTTCTCAGTGTAGTCCCTTAGATATCTCAACCAACAAGGACTGCATGATTGCTGGGAATTCCTACAACGTCACAATAGTTTTTGCAATAAATGCATGTAGCATACTTTTAGGTTTGTGTGTGTCCAACAGGAGCAGATGCCATGTTTTAAACTATATTTATTATGTTAAAAATGTGTATACAGCTATATACAGTACAGGGTATACAAAAGTAGATCTTTTTGTGTGCCGAATTTTCTACGAACTTCGATTGCAATCCGAAATCGCAATCGTCCTTAAAACCAAGTACTAAAGTTGTTTCTTTTCAAAGTTAATTTTTCTTATAGTTCTTTTAAGATAGTGTTTTAAACTTTCATGGCATATTTGGATAATGACAATAATGAAAGTGACCACATATCGGATATACCGTATTTAGTTATCAGTGTATCTTAAAAAGGAATAATCTTTTTCAAATAAACGTTATAAAGAAGTATAGTAATA